TAATTTGTTCTTAAACAACCCCTGTCTGCATCATGTGAAATCTTTTAATTTGTTCTTAATCAACCCCTGTCTGTGTTATGTGAAATCTTTTAATTTGTTCTTAATCAACCCTTGTCTGTGTTATGTGAAATCTTTTAATTTGTTCTTAATCAACCCCTGTCTGTGTCATGTGAAATCTTTTAATTTGTTCTTAATCAATTTCTGTCTGTGTTATGTGAAATCTTTTAATTTGTTCTTAATCAACCCCTGTCTGTGTTATGTGAAATCTTTTAATTTGTTCTTAATTTCTGTCTGGGTCATGTGAAATCTTTTAATTTGTTCTTAATTTCTGTCTGGGTCATGTGAAATCTTTTAATTTGTTCTTAATTTCTGTCTGGGTCATGTGAAATCTTTTAATTTGTTCTTAATCAATTTCTGTCTGGGTCATGTGAAATCTTTTAATTTGTTCTTAATCAATCCCCTGTCTGCATCATGTGAAATATTTTAATTTGTTATTAATCAACCCCCTGTCTGTGTTATGTGAAATCTTTTAATTTGTTCTTAATCAACCCTTGTCTGTGTCAAATGAATTTTTTTAATCTGTTCTTAATCAACCCTTGTCTGTGTTATGTGAAATCTTTTAATCTGTTCTTAATCAACCCTTGTCTATGTTATGTGGCATCATATAATTTGTTCTTAATCAAATCCTGTCTATGTCATGGGAATCTCTTAATAAGTTCTTAACCAACCTCTATCTATGTCATGGGTAATCTTTTAATTTGTTCTTAATCAAATCCTGTCTATGTCATGGGAATCTCTTAATAAGTTCTTAACCAACCTCTATCTATGTCATGGGTAATCTTTTAATTTGTTCTTAATCAAACCCTGTCTATGTAATGGGAATCTCTTAATAAGTTCTTAACCAACCTCTATCTATGTCCTGTGCAATCTCTTAACTTGCTATTAACCGACCCTTGTTTTTGTCTTCTACAATATCTTAACCAGTCTCTGTCTGTGTTATATGGAATCTCTTAGCTTGTTTATAACTCTAGCAGTAGCAAGAGGAAACCTGACAAATTTATAATTTTCCTATACTGAAAATCTATTTCCAATAGGTATTTACCTACTCTCCCATAAATAGCCATTTTCATTCAATGCTGCCCTCCATATGCAAAATTTTTTTGCATGCCACAAGCCTTCAGCTCCCACATACCCTAAGATCGATGTGGTTCAACTGCATCTCGCATACAAATCATCATGTGATAACCAATAGGAGTGTGACACACCCTCTTGACCCATGTGACTCCCTCTATTTGATTATACTGAACTATCACTCCAAGTTTTGGCAGAAAATGGAAGCACCAGTTTTCAGTGGGGAGGAAGGGCGGGAAGTATGAAAAGAGGTAAGTACCTATTAGAACTACATTTTCAGTATTGGAAAATTATAACTTCTAATATGGTACATTACCTCCGCTCACATAAGTAGATAGAATCCCATATTGAATAGATGGAGGGACTGGTGTGAGGGAAAGAAAGAAGCATCCATCGAAAGCATCTGAAAGACACCCTAAAAGAGTAGATCCTCACAGAAGAGGATCATACATGGGAGACCGCACCACTTTTGTACCAGGTATACTCTTTGCTCAGTGTGGAAAGAGGTGTCACAGAGATAGCCAGAAATTGGGAGGAGCACATCCAAAAGGGAGAGAACAATGGTTGGATTGGGATCTAAACCACACGGTATATTGGAATCTCAATCCCTTAGAGTACATCAATGTGGGCGAGAGTAAAAGGATGTGTCACCAGGTGTAGCGTGGCTAGGGTGTGACACAGCCAGTCAACTGCATCCAAAAGCTAGCCATCAGGAACCAACATCCATGCGAGGATAAGATAAGGATCACACCATCAGTAATTCAACTATAATCCAAAACCCAGTTGCCAGGAACTGACATTCATGTGTGGGTAGGAAAGAGGATCATACTGGCAGAAAGTCAACTATAATCCAAAACTCAGCCATCTGGTGGGGGTAGGAAAGAAGATCATACTTTCTTAACCTCAAGTTCATTAGACCGGAAGGAATCTTGTACCCCCGATCTATGAGAAGGACACTTGATAGCAAGGTGATAAAGTATTTGACTGATCCGGGAATTTTAAAACAAGGATGATTGGTAATATAAAGATGTCTCTGTAATATAAACTATCTACTCAAAACCAATCCGACAGGAACCTCCCCCAGCACAATAACATTCTTGGTAGAAGAAAATTATTGATGGATAGCATAATAGGAAGAACCATATTAATCTGCAAGTTCCATCACCATGACCCACAGCATGGGTGGAGGGAACAAGAGTAATTGAGTGAGGAAACAAAGACACCTATAATACATGTGTGAGGACTTATGTTGATTGGTTCAGCTCTGAATCCAAAACTCAGCCACTGGGAATCATCATCCATGTGGAGGTAGGATCCCAATCAATGGAAATGAACTGCAATTTTGACTGCTCACTCCAAAGCTATAACATCCCCTCAGGTAAACTGTAAAGAGATGGAGCAGTCTACACCAGCAGAACACCGTCGCCCAATTCTCAACTCAATGATTTTATCATTATTTGTATCTTAAATTATTAACACGTTCAGGAGGATGCCTCCCTGGTCCACCACTCCAGCAGCTTAAAACTGGAAAGTGGTAAGGACTCCCATACTCCAATGGAAGAAAAATGCAGTGAAGAATCCAGAGGAACATCAACACCAGAGACAGTACAACACATGACCATGAAAACCCTATTTTAAAAAGCAGACCATACCTGATTTATTCAACTGAAGGCACGACTGAGATGGGCAGCTATCCCCTTCTGCTTTACCCATGAAGTCCATGGGTGAGTACAGTCCAATTTACAAGCGATCTTGTGGAACATCCCATCTCAACAGCATGCATTTAGTGGCTATGGAAATCATAATTTTAAAGTCATCATGGCATTACAGTACAGATTTGACTAGTTTAAGTATACTTAGATAAGTGCCATTTGCCATAAAGTGGGATCCATAGAAAAAAAAAGTAAGTTATCATTTAAAACAAGTAATGTGAAGTAGAAAAAATTAGAAAATATCTCCAGTCATTATGAAATTAAAAAAAAAAAAGCATGCGAAAAGAGCACAAAGAAAAAAACGTCTTGATGATAGCAATGACAAATGAGAAGTGACAGTTTGGTAGAAACGAATAGAGGGAGCCACATGCATCAGGTAGGGTGTGTCACATTCCTATTGGTGGAGGGTTGTCACATGATGATTTGTATGAGAGATGCAGTTAAACCACATTTATCTTGGGGTACATGGGAGCTGAAGGCTTGTGGCATGTGAAAAACATTTTGCATATAGAGGGCAGCACTGAATGAGAATAGCTATTTATGTGAGAGGGAGTAATGTACCATATCAGAAGCCATCTATAATGTAGAAAAGACACCATTGTAACAGCAGAAGATTTTGCAATTTCAAACACATGGAGAACAAATTTTTCTGTCACCTCGTGCTGATATTCTTTTCTCTAACAAGATGTAGAATGCTTATATGGAAAGACTTTTTGCAGTAAGTTACTAAGGTGGAAAGATTTACTGATGTAGTTTTCTAACCCTTTTTCAACGGGCTCAGTATAAGATACACAAGTTATTATACACATTTGCATACGTTAAGTATTTATAACATTTAATGCAGTGAGTGTATCTTCACAAAATTTGGTAGACTCTTAAGAAACATTAAAAGCCTTTTGTACACAAAAATATATATAGTCTGTTTCATTAATAGTCACAGTGTGAAGTGATTTTCATGTTAAAAAACTTCTCTGTCTCAAAATTCTCAAATATCACTTCTGTAATCTCTAAAACCTCCTAAATACATTTCTAACGTTTTTTTTCAGTAAAACTTTATATTTTATCTGTTGTTTTCTCTACCCTAACTCTATGCAGGGTTGATCAATTTCACCGATATCATTTTTTTCTATCCAGAATGACTTCAGATGTAACATGAATTACCTAGTAATAGTAATAGTATACATCTATTTATACCTAAATTTTGTTGTTTTATTGCCCTTTGAACAACTAACTACTACTATTCATGCAATTATAAGTTTTAAGTCACTTGGGGAATGTGGAGCTCATGTTATGCTATCTAATTACATTACCTACGAGCTAGACCGAGTTACTCACGTGTGTGCCCCGTGAAACATTTTTATTATATCATTACCATCTTAACTAACCTAAAGAGATCCTTAATTTTTACATTTTAGTTACTTTTATCATAATAAGTAAAGTATAAACATGAAAAACAAGAAATAAAGTACTTACCTGGGTCTTTTTTTGTTTTTGTCAGCTGTTGATGACACTTAACCCTACATTTTTTTAAACTAATGCACTATATAATTTTTATTTGAGTAAATAATGCACTAAATGACGTAGAATAGTAACATGCAAAAAGCAGACAGTTTCCCTATCTATCACAGTTTTTCTGGCTTTATAACTATGTAACAAACCATTACAAATTTATCCAAGTTAGTCATTATCTTTCCTGTGACAACTAAGCTTTTACTACCTTTGAAATTGACAATTCTCTGTTCAGAAAACAATATAATATAATACGTCATTTGATAGATGAAAACCTTGGCTTTCTATTGGTTATATATAATATAAAATTAAACATAAGAGAGAACTATTAACAAATCCTGAAAGAGAGGATGAGACAGGTGGGTGTGGCAAGAGGAGTCTGATTTTCTATTTGATGGCTCTGTAACCAAACAAAATTGAAGGCTATAAAAATTAGGGTTTGTCTGAGCAATGACAATTTTATAGTGAGGAATTTACGTTAAATTTCATACTTATTGGAGGGGTGGTGAATAAAATAGAGAAGTGGGGATGCCTAGAGAAAATATGTCACATTTCTCACACTAGGGGAAATTCAGGATTTTTTTAAATATTGCCTTATAAAATCAAGATCTTAAACTTGTATACTATTAAAATATGGATTATTAGCTATGATTTTATGCTATATTAATTGGTATAACAAACAAAAGTAGATTAATTAAAATTTGAAAATAACTTGATAAAATACTGCGACACGTGAAAAGACCTTCTGTTGTAAGTTGTTGATGTTGGAAGACTTTCTGTTGTATGTTGTTGATGTGGAAGACTTTCTGTTGTCAAGTGGTGATATGGATAGCTTTCCCTTGGAAGAACAAGAGAATTAAAATAGTTCATTTCTTAGCTCTACACTGAATAACCAACTAATTAGAGGTCAGGGCCTGCAGAATTTATTGTTGGGGATGATATGATGGGTGAAACCCTTCCCCACATTAAAAATAGTGAGCAACCTATGAAGTTGAGGAATGCTGTTCCATAGAAGACTAGCTTCCAGCTGTTGGTCGTTTCTAGTATGTATCCAGTGGTATATACACCAATGATTCCTGAAAACAAACACCAATTTTTCTTGCTTAAATACTAATTTTATGCACAAAGGAATGTCCAGTTTTTACATTTTGTACAAATAATAATTTATGAAAATTTGTTTTTTAGTCATAATATATATTTGTCTACCAGCTTTAAAATGTCAAAACTTAAATGCTTATCCAAGATAGTATCATAGTCTCATTTTTATATGCATACTTGTAACATTTTCACCTATGCAAAAAAGTTACGATAAACTAAGTATAATTAGTTTTCCTTTTCCTGGCACTTGGGTACGGGGTTAAATATAAGAAAAAAGTATTTTTTTTCGTACTTTAAAATAATAAAAAATATTTTAGTTTAGTTCTTTATTTATTTCTGCTATATCTACTCTCATATATAATTTGTATAACAAGCATGGATAGAAACGTTCTCTATTTAAACTTGTCAAATGATATTTTTTTTAGTACAGTTTTTAACCCTTTTTCCCTCTTGATGTTAGTTAATTTCTATAACTTTTTATGTGCTCAAGTATGCTATTATTTCCTTACAAAGTAAGGAATCATATATTTTTCACTAGTATTATATACAAAAAATGAATGTTATTACAGGCTATGTCACCATGCCCAGTCATGCTATATCTGATGGCCATGCATTTTGACAATATATAAAGTTTCCATTGCAAAATACTTTGCCATGAGGCTATCATGTCCAAAGAAATTCACTCCTTCATTTAGGCTTTCCATAATTCATCTAGTGCATAAGGGCAATAATTTCACAGCATCCATTTCAATAGTCAGATTGCACAGAAATCCATGGGTACTGCACTTGGAATCCGTACATTCATGCATATGGAACAGCATGAATATACCTGTTTCATTCTCCATTTGGTTTTGAATTTTGCACAAAGCTACACGAGGGTTATCTGTCCCTAATATAGCAGTGTAAGACTAGAGGGAAGGCAGCTAGTCATCACCATCCACCGCCAACTCTTGGGCTACTCTTTTACCAACGAATAGTGGGATTGACCATCACATTATAATGTCCCCACAGCTGATAGGATGAGCATGTTTGGTGAGACAGGGATTCGAACCCGTGACCCACAGATTGCAAGTCAAGCGCCCTAACCACTTCCCCATCCCGGGCCAGGATATGCAATGATTGACAGGGTACATCTTATGTTTATATGGCTTGTGTCACTATATTTTTTTTCCATGGATTTTCACCTGTTACAAAAAGTGCATTTTGCTTACCATGGCTGGGGTATGAATTCTTGCAAGTCTCTTTCCGGATGGTTCTGGTGCACATATTCCTCCATGTTCCTTGTGATTAAGTACAAAGAATACCCCTATCATGGAAATTCTAAATCATTGTTCTTAACACATCTTTATGATCTGAGTGTATTGTAAAGGCTGTTACATATCCCCCCCCCCCCAAAAAAAAAAAAGAGAGAAAATTTTGGTAGCATCACACTACCTACAAAATGTCAAAATGTATTTCTGATGCATGTCAGACCACTGTGAATATATACTGTTTGTGGTTTTCATGTGAGTTACTGAATGGCATATTCAAAATATTTTTAAGATAACATACTCAAATATCTTTATATTACTTTAGGTTGCACTAAAACTGATCCTTCAGATCTAAAATGTGAGATTCTTGAAGTGGTCAGTATGTTCTCTAGACTTTTCTCTTTCTGGTAATAATAATAAATATTAAAAACAAATCTTAAAAATGTCCTATCATATTATGGCTATAACTTACCAGGCAGAGCTCCAACAGAATTCATAAATCCTAGGAGGAAAACAAAAGGTTTAAAGACAAAAATAATACTTTGTAAATTTGAAAATGGTTTGCCGAAACACATGAAATTGATCAAATATTGTCAAAATTCTCCAGTTATACTTAACAATATTACACAATTTTATTTCACTGATATTCTAAAATGAAAAGTGAAAACTTATAATTGAATATCAGGTAATAGGTAAATCACTCAAACAGCTATGAAAGATTTATTTCTTTTTAATATAGGCAATATAATATATACAACTAAAATAATCTAAAGCATGGACATTGATATTAAGGTGAAAGTTCAAATCTAATATATACGAAAATACAAGCAGCCAATGTCCTTAATGTTTTGAGCATTCCTTGGTTTTTTCAGGATCCCGTAAATGTCATACAGGACTTTTATACGTTTACAAGATTAAATGATTTTTGTGGTATTTCATCTATCAGAGTTATAACTTGCTCGGGTCTGTAGCTGCACCAAACTGTTAAGTTGTGACTTATGTCTGCTTTTCAGTCATGATTTTTTAGAGAGCCCCAAAAGACATCTAGCTCAAAAGAACGTTTAAATCCCTCCATTTTTTTTAGTGATAAAATCCACCCTGTGATTCAGTTGCATTTCTTAATCACACAGTACTCAATTTGCTGATTTGATTTATGTAATCAATGAACCAACTTCCTTACTGAATTCTTCTAAAATATGCCTCATTACACTGAAATTAAAATTATTTTTTGGACTAGTTGGGGTACCAGTGCCCCTGAACAGAAGTTACGTAAATTCAGGATTAATGAAAGATTATCTTAGAACATGAAAAATTGGTTTCCTTATATGTAATTGTAAAAAAATGCCCATAAAAACTGCAAAACCTAAAATGTGAAACCACAAATTTGCATGTATCTCCGCATGGACCCAACAAACCTTCATGTTAACTTTAATGAAGTTCCATCAGCAGAGGGTAAAGTAGTGGTGGTGAAAATGCAAAAACACTCATGACAAACCGCAAAATTGAAAATTTGTATGTATCTCCCCATGGATCCAACAAACCTTCATGCCAAATTTGGTGAAGATCCATCTATAGAAGGCAAAGTAGTGGTAAAAAATACAAAAACGTCCATAAAAAAACCCACAAAATGCAAAACTTAAATGCACTGGATGGTTCTAAAGTTGCTGTTACTGATGATCCTGGATATTCTGGAGGGAATTTAAAATTGCTTTTTTGGCAGCTTGGTTTACTAGGTCAGCTTCTCATGAGGCCAGATCCTTTTATTCAGCCTCAGAACCTTCCAGTGAAATACCCTCAGATCGAATATATGTCTCACAGATAGCCTCAACTTGCTATCAGAGGTTGGATAAGGGAGGTCTGATTAGCTCTGCTGGAAACAGTAACGTGACAACTCATGCCTGAAAATAGTATGTTGTAATGAAATAAATTGCACCCGTTGTCTTTAATAGTCACAGTACTTTTTTAGAGAAACCTGTTCCATTATGCTTTTTGAGAAAAAGTGATAACATCTGAATGAGGTGCTTATATACAGTACTAGGATAGATGGTGTATTGACATAGGTGGAGAGTGTCATGAGACAAATATTGTCAAGGGCAATTGAGTGGGGTATAAAAGACTGGAGTACGCAAGAAAAAAATCAGACCAAAGCTTAGATGGGCAAAGGAAGAAACCCTGGCAGTTGAGTACTAGTTATAAATGTGAGGTGAGGTAAGTATGTTTTGGAATTATGGTTTTTTGTTATAAACTGAACTGAAGAATAAAAATTAAGCTCAGCTGTTGAGATAGTAGCTATGATAAAAAGTCTTGCATTGAACACAGTTTATGTGCTAGTGTTACTTCAGGCACTCTATACCACTGGACAAAGCAAAGTTCTGGATTTATTTTGTGAGTTACATAAGAATAGCTACATAAGAATGGCTACATAAGAATGGCTACATAAGAATGGCTACATAAGAATAGCTACATAAGAATAGCTACATACATAAGAATAGTTACATAAGAATAGCTATATACATAAGAATAGTTACATAAGAATTGGTACATAAGAATAGCTACATACATAAGAATAGTTACATAAGAATTGGTACATAAGAATAGCTACATAAGAATAGCTACATAGGAATAGCTATATACATAAGAATAGTTACATAAGAATAGCTACATAAGAATAGTTACATAAGAATAGCTACATAAGAATAGTTACATAAGAATAGCTACATAAAAATAGCTACATAAGAATTGGTACATAAGAATAGCTATATACATAAGAATAGCTACACAAGAATAGCTACACAAGAATAGTTACACAAGAATAGTTACACAAGAATAGCTACATAAGAATAGTTACATAAGAATAGCTACATAAGAATAGTTACATAAGAATGGCTACATAAGAATGGCTACATAAGAATAGCTACATACATAAGAATAGTTACATAAGAATAGCTATATACATAAGAATAGTTACATAAGAATTGGTACATAAGAATAGCTACATACATAAGAATAGTTACATAAGAATTGGTACATAAGAATAGCTACATAAGAATAGCTATATACATAAGAATAGCTACATAAGAATAGCTATATACATAAGAATAGTTACATAAGAATAGCTACATAAGAATAGTTACATAAGAATAGCTACATAAGAATTGGTACATAAGAATAGCTATATACATAAGAATAGCTACATAAGAATAGTTACATAAGAATAGTTACATAAGAATAGCAACATAAGAATAGCAACATAAGAATAGCTACATAAGAATAGCAACATAAGAATAGCTACATAAGAATAGCTACATACATAAGAATAGCTACATAAGAATAGCTACATAAGAATAGCTACATAAGAATAGCTACATAAGAATAGCTACACAAGAATAGTTACACAAGAATAGCTACACAAGAATAGTTACATAAGAATAGCTACATAAGAATAGCTACATAAAAATAGCTACATAAAAATAGCTACATAAGAATAGCTACATAAGAATAGCTACATAAGAATAGCTACATAAGAATAGCTACATAAATAAGCAACACAGATGTCTTTGAAAAACTTAAATAATAAATGTGGGATAATCAATAAAATATCCACTGACCAAAAACAGTTCCGGCATGCTGAGGGGCAATGTCCATTGGATTCATATGAACACCAGCTGTATGGAATGGTCCAACTCCAAAGCACAAAACAACACAAAACAATACTCCCTCATAGCTGTGCAGGTTGGCAATCAGTGTTAAAAGAAGCACTCGGACATACTGTGAAGCTGCCTGTTATCGAAAATTAAAAGATCAGTTATCTTTATAAAACAAGGTGTATGACAGTTGCAGAGAACTAATGTGTGATTTACATGTAGGATTTATGAGTACTTAAGGAGAAAGGTGCCAATAATATTAATGGAATCAGAGTTTTTTATGCATCAATGAAAAAGTGATTAAAACGAATCAAATACATATACTTTTTATGGAGTTTCTTCAAAATATTTCTAGAGACAACTAGCTGAGTCATAAAGTTAAATATCTCTTGGTGTTATTGGAAAATAATTAATCAGTATTAATATAAACACAGTCACACACAGTAATAAAACTTGTTAACTATACAAAACTACTGCATGAATCATGTTGTAAGATACTGTCATACCAAATTAATACATGAATCATGTTGTATGATACTGTCATACCAAACTAATACATGAATCATGTTGTATGATACTTTCATACCAAACTAATACATGAATCATGTTGAAAGATACTGTCATACCAAACTAATACATGAATCATGTTGAAAGATACCGTCATACCAAACTAATACATGAATCATGTTGAAAGATACTGTCATACCAAACTAATACATGAATCATGTTGTATGATACTGTCATACCAAACTAATACATGAATCATGTTGTATGATACTGTCATACCAAACTAATACATGAATCATGTTGAAAGATACTGTCATACCAAACTACTGCATGAATCATGTTGAAAGATACTGTCATACCAAACTACTGCATGAATCATGTTGAAAGATACTGTCATACCAAACTAATACATGAATCATGTTGTATGATACTTTCATACCAAACTAATACATGAAGCATGTTGTATGATACTGTCATACCAAACTACTGCAAGATTGATGTTGAAAGATACTGTCATACCAAACTACTGCATGAATCATGTTGAAAGATACTGTCATACCAAACTAATACATGAATCATGTTGTATGATACTGTCATACCAAACTACTGCATGAATCATGTTGAAAGATACTGTCATACCAAACTAATACATGAAGCATGTTGTAAAAACCTAATGTATTAATTGTGTAAAAAACTAATGCATATTATAAAATAGAAAATTAACATACACAAGCAATTAATGAGACACTGGTGTAGAAAGCTAGTGTATTACCCATGGTGTAAAATGTTGCTGTTCAAATCCAATGTATTAAAAATTAAACGTGCAGGAAGGGGATACTATCTTGAAGTTGATGAAAAGTTGAATTGCGGTTTTGTGCTACCTTTAGATAATTTTTTTACCAGTGTTTGTAGCATAACATTCTTGAAACCTTCTGTAGTCTACGATCTTCAACTCTCCACCAGTGTTTGTAGCATAACACTCTTGAAACCTTCTGTAGTCTACCTTCTTCAACTCTCTACCAGTGTTTGTAGCATAACACTCTTGAAACCTTCTGCAGTCTACCTTCTTCAACTATCTACCAGTGTTTGTAGCATAACACTGTTGAAACCTTCTGTAGTTTACCTTCTTCAACTCTCTACTAGTGTTTGTAGCATAACATTCTTGAAACCTTCTGTAGTTTACCTTCTTCAACTCTCTACCAGTGTTTGTAGCATAACACTCTTGAAACCTTCTGTAGTCTACCTTCTTCAACTCTCTACTCCATTACTTGATAACCACCAACTTTCTTCACATCTCATCTCAAAAGATATTCAGATATAGATATAAACTGTGTCATTTGCTTGGATATTTGACCATAATGCATCCATTTCCAGCAACTAAAACCAGCTATACACAAAACTGCAATATTATATTATAAAGCATGAACATTATGGAAATTATGACATAGAAGTTGAAATAATGAATCTGTAAGTTAGACTACAGAGAAAAAAATCTTACCTCGGAACACTTCCTGATCAACAATAAATTATAGCCTGTTAAATAAAAAACAAAAACATTATCAAAGTAATGAACGAAAGGATTTAGACACACGGAAAAATAACTCTCAGCTTTAGATATTAGATATCTCTTGTCGTAATTGAAGCAGTTACATACAATAAAATATTGCTCACTAGCTTTATAGGGTAACCATGTTTCAATACTTGACATAATAATTATAATCTTTTAACTAAACATACAACTTCTTCAAAAGATATTGAGGGAATTAATTGTTGTATTTATAGTATGAAACTTATATTTTGATCAAATACCACAAGTACCAGTCAAGTAAAACTTAATATCTCACAAAAGATTTCTCGACGCCTAAGCCGACTCTGTAAATCTTTTAATGGATTTCTATATAAAAGTAGTCTTAGCTTTATTGAACATTTTATCTGAACAGGAGTTACTGTTTTTACAGACATTATACAGACAAATATTCTTTATGAAAAAAACAAAATTGTTTTCATAATGAAAATTAGTCTGCTCAATTGAAAAAAAAAAGAAAACGATTTGTTGAGCTTATCATGTATAGTGCTTTTACATGTTGCTTCTGGTGACGTAAAAAACAAACAGAAATCTGAAACTGTTCCTTAAGAACTTTAACATGATGTAAACTGGTGAATTTGCTGCACTAAAATATCTGGTTTATATTTTTGCTTCTAATGTAAAAGGAAATTTAGGTTAGTGAAAGTATAAGTTTTGAATAATTAAGAAATTTAAAATTATAAAAGTTGAATGAAAGATTAAGTGTGCCAGTTTGTTTATTCTATAAATAAGTTCGTGTTTCATCAGAAATACTGAAGTGCTGGATAAATGACGATAATTATTTTATTTTATTTGTTTGTTTTTGAATTTCGCGCAAAGCTACACTAGGGCTATCTGCGCTAGCCATCCCTAATTTAGTAGTGTAAGACTAGAGGGAAGGCAGCTAGTCATCACCACCCACCGCCAACTCTTGGGC